GAAGAGCGTTACGACCGCACGTGGCAGTACCGCCAAGTCTCTCTGGACAAACCAGACCCACTTCAATGATGTTTCACAAGAAGTTCACACCAGCCAATGCCACAACCACGTCTCGTCATGAAGGTCTGCTCCTCAGTACTACTGAACCCTCATGATCCTGCTGGAAGAGTCACCAATTGGGAGACTACCTTTTAGACAAGATTAAATGTCCTACAGCAAAAGAGCAAAACATTTCTTACCCCTTGGCCAACCCTCTGGCCTCGGAAGTTGTAACAACCAGGGCATTAGAATTAATTCACAAAATCACAGAATCACAGAATAGTAGGGGTTGGAAGGGATCTCTGTGGGTCATCTAGTCCAACCCTCCTGCCCAAGCAGGGTCACCTACAGCAGGCTGCACAGGATCTTGTCCAGGCGGGTCTTGAATATCTCCAGAGAAGGCGACTACACAGCCTGCCGGGGCACCCTGGGCCTGTGCCAGTGCTCCTTCACCCTCAGAGGGAAGAAGTTCTTCCTCGGGTTCAGACGGAACTTCCTGTGCCTCAGTTTGTGCCCATTGCCCCTTGTCCTGTCACTGGGCACCACTGAAAAGAGCTTGGCCCCATCCTCCTGACCCCCACCCTGCAGATATTTATAAGCATTTCTAAGGTCCCCTCTCAGCCTTCTCTTCTTCAGGCTGAACAAGCCCAGCTCCCTCAGCCTCTCCTCGTAGGGGAGATGTTCCAGTCCCCTCACCATCCTCGTAGCCCTCCGCTGGACTCTCTCCAGTAGCTCTTCATCTTTCTTGAACTGGGGAGCCCAGAACTGGACACAGTACTCCAGATGGGGCCTCACCAGGGCAGTGTAGAGGTGAAGGAGAACCTCCCTCATCCTGCTGGCCACACTCTTCTTGATGCACCCCAGGATTCCATTGGCTTTCTTGGCAAAATTGCCTGTTGCCATAGCAAAAATACATCTCCATGGATTTCCAAGCTGTGTCTGCAGAAGACACCATTCCTACAGAGGCAGCTGGAGCTCCTCGTGTCACTGCACGCAGAATCCCAGCAAGAAACGCAGTGACTGCGAGCAAAACTGATCTTCTCTGTCTTCTTTCTTTGCTGACTATGTTTGAAGAAAGGGACTTGGCAGCAGGCATGGCTGACAGCTCTTTATTTTAGTACAAGAGGGACAGTCTCAAAGTGAGTCATGACACAGAAATCTCTTACTCCATGTCCCTGAATCTTCAGTCCCCAGACTCTCCTTCAAACACAGCTCACCCGTGTACGTGAAAGCACCGCGCAGCCAGCCAGCCTTACTCCAGGAACAGCCTGGTGAAGGCAGCCTGCACCGAGAACGTCCCACTCTACAGGTCAGAGAGATCTGCAATTCCACCAGGATCAGAAGGGAAGGAAAACGCTCAAGACAGACTTTTTAGCTGTTCACTAACTCCCCAGCAACAAGAAGCCGCGTGGAGCTGCAAGGCGAGCAGTCACCGTGTGCAGGACAGTTCTGTCCTTCACGCGTGTCGTACTCATCACAAGCAGATCCCACAAAAGCAGAATCTCATAAATTCTGCTGTTTGCCCTGGAAATAAGCCCATATCCACCACAGTAGCCCACAACGGGTCCACTGTCTGCCTCAGAGGAAGATGTCTATTTCAAATGCAAAAATTACTGTGCTTCTTCACTGAAAAACCTCAGATCTTCTTCATCAGGTTAGAAGACCTCTGTATGGAACAGCAGATGCTGGAAATTAAACCGAAAGAGCCTCCAGCCTCTCCGTTGTGGCTAACATAAATACTCCCAAGTCAGAAAGGGGGGAAGCAGTGACTCCGACACTTGCGTGTCCCCGTTTCAAGGCAGCTGCCCTGCTCCAGTGCCACAGCATAGGCTCCTTCCGCGTCCACCAAGAGCATCGCAGCCCACGCAGGGATCTTCAGGAGCCTGCACGACTTCAGCCTTCCCGTGGGCGTCCACCATCCTGCAGCAGCTGCGGAGAGCCCAGCTAACAGAGTCCGACACAGCCCAAACCCTCTTCGAGGGCCATCGCTCTGTGCCCCCAGGCTGGCCGGCCTGATGCCTCCTCATCTTCCTCTTCGAGGGCCATCGCTCTGTGCCCCCAGGCTGGCCGGCCTGATGCCTCCTCATCTTCCTCTTCGAGGGCCATCGCCCTGCACCCAGGCTGGCCGGCCTGATGTTTCCTCATCTTCTGTCTTCAGTCTCACTCCTCAACCTCTCTTCTTCATAAGGAGCGATTCCCTGCCACACTTCTATCCCTTCCCCTTTCATGGAGGAGCAGCTAACTCAGAATACAACTGATTTAATCAGGCATGTAGCTGACTTGTTGACATGACAGAGAAATCGTCTTCCCAGAAGCATAAATACCATAGTCTTCTAATAAATCAGTGGATTATTCAATTTCAGGATTAAAACAGCCAACTTTTCCATCAGAAAACAAGCCCATAAAATATGGGATGATCACATAAATGATCACACTTGAAAAAAACCGAGCAGGTAATCTGTATTCTGAACAGCAAGAAGGACAGAAACCACCACCACTCACACCCCACATTATTACGTAGCGGTTACTGTGCAGTATTCCCACCCTACCTAACAGAAACAGCCGTCACTACTCGTATAGTAGCTCTCTTTGTGTGGCTAATATAGGCATCTACACACGGAGTACGTCAGCCTGAGTACACAATCTATCTGTCTCTAGTGCATGCTCTTCCCCTTGGAAGAACAAGTCCCAACTTCTCCCAGTGGTGTCCCAAGTAGAGCTCTACCACGTAGTGACTGTGCTCTGCACGGGCCCATTCACACCAGCACTGTTACGTTACTGGAAAACCACAACATATACTAGAATTTATATTTACATCATTTAATTATTTGTTATGTTGAACTTTATTCCTATAGGAGATTCACTGAGTCTGACTTCAAATAATTGCTGTGTTTTAATCCCCCGACGCTGGGAAACCAAGACACTGGAGGTGACTTTCAACGGAGAAGAGATTAGCATTGTCACCACAGCACACTGCAAACCACCTCCTGAGGATGGTGGGCAAACAATTTCCAGAATTCATTTTCTCGCTCCCGTTAATAGACTTTGAAGAGATTGTATCACTACTTCTTGTGTATTCACACTGTGGCTCTTGCTGGAGGTGGATAAGCTGCCTTTCTTGGAAACGGGAATTATTTATTCTGCAGAAAAAAATCTCCCTTATGCAGACTGCTTCCCCAATTTCATTCGTGTTCTTTATTTAACAGTCACCACAAAAGTTGATTACTTTCAGCTCAGTGTCCAATATTTACAGTATAATTAAAGTAGCTGACAAGGGATGTAACATTGGATTGCTCCACTGAGTTAAGCAGATTTCCGTGCAGTTATACAACGTTTGTACTCACCACATCTGAGCAGCCAGATACTGAAATGTTCAGAACAAAACAGAATCTGCAGTTTCTTATTATAGTAACACTGACGAGGCACAAATGCACGACGTAGACTGTGTTAGGTTGTGTGAACGGATAAACGCAGGTTTGACCCAATGTGGCAGTGAAGCGAAGCAGCAACTCCACCCAGAATGCCTGCTCGCAGTTTCTAGTGTGGCAGAGGATGGAGAAACCCTTCGAACCACTCGGCTGCCAGAGCCAGCTCCGTCAGACAACGCCAGGGCGCCTTCCTCCTCACCCTCCTGTCCCGGGGAAGGAACCTCCGGGCTGCTCTAGCAGCAACGGCTTTCGCCTCCCATCTTCAAGCGACTCCCTCGTACAAGCGTACCTCTTGTCGCTACCCTGGCATGAATGCAAGGGCTACTGCTTCTGAAACTGTCTTGGATAAAAAGATGAGAAGCCAGGGGGGAGCTATTTGCCTCATCAGTGCTGACAGCTACTTGTGCTAGGGAAGTTCTCAGCGTGCACATTACGACTTTCACACCAGTCCTATTCACTCAGAAGGCTTTACTTCAGGAACGAGAGGACCAGTCTCCACATAGATTAACAATCAATGTAATTATCACTGGTCAAACGCGTGGCTCCACCCCCCACTGCTGACTGCAAACACCTTTTAGTTTGCCAAGCTCCTCCATTGCACAGCTTTCCGAGCAGAGCATCTGAACGCGGCAGCGTCTCAGCCGACGAGCAGAGCCAGGCCGGGGCGGGCAGAGAGCAGCCAGTGTTTTCACAGAAGCAGGCCAGATCCAAGCGCTGCCATTTAACGTCTGCCGCCACCAGGTACTAGAAATTAGACCCCTTTCTAGTGAGTTTGTCAGCAAATGATGCGCGCCTCGGGTGCCTCTGCCAGGAAGGCTGCGACTGTCCCGACACTGGGCTGGCCTCCAGCCCAACGCGCTCATTTTTTGTCACGAACTGAAGAAGGTAATTGAAATGAAAAAGCCGAATGAAGACTTTTCAGGACACGAGGGGGCTGACGCCTGTCTGATGCGTGTAGGAACACACCCACCAAGCCCGCTGGGCCCGTTTCACACACTACAGATGTGACTACTAGCATCTGCACGAATAAATACAAAAACAGGTAGCAAACACCATCCTTAACTCACAATGCTTTAAACTTTGAAACAAACACACGGGTTTCCCAAACCTGTCCTCATTAACCTGCTCTCCTCCTTCCACCGCCTCGCTGGGACGAGACGGCAAGAGCAGCCATGGCAGCAGGGCTGCTGGCACCGCTTACCTTCTTCGTGACGGCGTCCGGTGGCACGTCCCGCCGCCCCAGCGGGTAGGGGTTCCACTGGCCGCTCACAGGCACCTCCTCCTGCCCGTTGTCCAGCACGCTGCTCTGCTGCGACGGCGTCTGTTGCACAAACGGTAGGGCAGCCTTTAGTCACCGTCACACCGCGACAGAAAAGTCTCTCAGCACATTTATCTCATCAACCCAGCTCAACGGCAACGCGCTGTCGCTAAAACGGAAAGCCTCGCGCGTCTCTACAGCGTTTCACCAACGTGTGATCGCACTGCTCCTGCAAGCAGGAGATCTCGAGAGACGTATAAGAGAAATAACGAGAATAATGAATGATGAGAGAAAAGAGAAAATTAATTTAACGGAACTCATTACTTCCAGAGAAACAGGTTTTGGCAAAGTTCCACATCTAAACGTGCAGTCTGCCGTCGGTCATTTGAGTTAGAACTTGCTTACTGGTCATTCCAGCATCAAAAACATTTTTATGAAGTATTTCTCAACAAGATTAAATTATATGCTTAGATTTTCTGCAGAAAATATTCCTTAATGGCAATACGGAACGTGCGACCACAACTCCTTCGCGCTGTGCTCTGTGCATCACTGCGCGCGGCGTGCTTCTCGCAGACCTCTCTCGGCTCTGCCTGGCTTTGCTCTCAGTTATCATATGGACATTAACCAGTCATTAAATGCTCTCCTGAACATGAAGGGACATAACACACATCCAAAGTTTCCTAAACAAGCCTGATACTTTTGTTCTTATTTTCCATTTTTCTCTCCTTTTATAGATATTTCTTCTTTGTCCCTTTTCCCCTGGTTATTTCACTCCCGTTCTCAGCACTATGGAGGATGTGTACTTCTCCTGTCCCATCCTGATTTTCTGTTATCTGCCTCTATTTCTTCCCAACAGCTGGAAATTGTGCTGACATGGGTATGGCTACTTGTGTCAGACTTTCCAAAACGCCAGCCCTGTACTACCACTGACAGCACCTGGCATTATGCAGTGCTTCTTCAGTTAACTGCTTATTCAGTCTGGACTAATGGTAATCTGCAAAGGAAAAAAAAGGAGTATTCTTCCCCTCTGTCATTCAAGCAACAACTTCTTCAGCTTAGATTGAAAAAAAAAAAATCACGAAACACTTCTTTAGATGACTGAAGAACAAATGAAACTTGCTTTGAGATATTAAAGCCAGTAACTGGTCAATTAAGAACTCATTTTTATGCAAGCTTAAAAATCTTTTAAAAGTAAATAGAAATCAATTGCGATTTAAATCATACTCCTCAGAGGTTAAGTAAAAAAAAAATCAACCCTAATTATTTAAAATCAAAGAAAAATTTTCACTATAATTCATCATTGAAGAAATTGTCTGGAAAAATCAGGGAAGATGTGATTTTCTGCATGTTAAAAACCACTGGAAAAAACATTTCCCCTACAAGACCTCCCTGTAGCGCTGTCTTTACGCATATCAAAAATGGAAAAACGAGACCAGCCTCAGCCCTTTTTCCCCTGCCCTGCCCGG